AATTATACACCCTAAAACTTGGTCATAATTTGTTCATTAAGTTTTTATTTAATAAAAATAAAAATAAAAATTATATTTTATATTTTATATATATATATATATACATATAATTCTAATAGTATAAGAAACGTGTAAATCCAAATTATTATGAATTAGTTATAAAATTTTAAAGATAACAAGTAAATAAATGAAAAATTAAGTAAAAATATTTTACCTCAAAAGTAACTTGGTTATAGATCAAGGATTTGAACCTTACCAAGGCTCACATATAGTGTATTTTAGATTGCTAAAAGATGCCACAAGGCCTTATTCTTATCTTCTTAACTATATTCAAGGTGCTACAATTTATATGGGACTTGTGTACCTCCCTTCTTACAAAGATTAAATTAGCTGCTGGTCCTCCTATTTTTTACTAATAAAATTAATATTTTTATATTTTTGACTTAACTATGGTATTCAAAAATACCCAATTAGTCTAATAACCATGTATGGCCTTCAAATCTTGCTCCATTTCTTCATAATAGCTCCCAAGGTGATAAAATTTAATTTTACTAAGTTATTTTTTTAATATATATATATATATATATATATATATATATATATATTATATTTTTATAATAATAATATCAAATTAAAAATATATTTTTCTATCTTGATGATTTTTTATAGTAAAAAAATAAATTTTAATCAACTAAAAATCCTATTTTTAATATAAATAACTAAAAAGACATGAGATTCTTTTACATGCTTCTTTTAATTATTAATTAATATTTATAGGTTTTAGAATAAGTAATACATATAAGTAAATGGCTAATATAGATATTGGTCTTAATAATTAACTTTTAATACTCAATAATAAATAAAAAATACTAAACCAAGTAAGATAATTGCCTCTCAGACTTATGAAGATTCTATTTTTATGACTTTTTTTCTAATAAGTTCTTTGTACTTTATAAATATTACTAAATTCTAATAAATACTTAAATCATCAAAAAAAATCTAATATTAATATTTTATATTTAAATAACTATAACCTATATTTTTAATAGTTCTGCCAATTAAAATCTATTGATAGAACTCATAATAAATCAAGTAATAATTCCTAGGAATTGAAGCATTAGCAAATTTATAATGTTTTGAGGTACTACAATTGTAAGAAGAAAACTAGGTTGGAAAAGAGAATTGAGCCAATATAGAATGTTGTAATAAATATTTCATTTCCAACCAACCCAAAAACAAAAAAATCCTCCATTCAAAATCAAAGATGGAGAAGGAAATAAGCAACAAACTCCAACCCCGAGTCTTTAGCTTGATTTACAAATTTTATAAATTTGTATTTACATTACAATATATATATATATATATATATATATATATATATATTTGTTATAAAATTTTGTGCATAAAAAATATTTAATTTTGAATTTTTAATAATGTTGCTATTGCCACCATGACTAGCCATTCATCACATGTCATCACATTTTTTGCTTATGCCACCACAAGCTACTTTAGACTTGTGTTGTACACCACAACTGTATTGATAAGGCAGTGCAGACAGCGATGTTACATATCTAACAAGCATCACTTGACTCCGCCATTGAGTAATACACCACTGCAGTCCAAAGAAACATTCCACCGAATTCAGCATCTCATATTCACAAATGGTTGCTGATACAACGGAAACTTGCGGGAGGGCAATCCGTAGGGGCACCTCGCGCATGCTTAGCGTCCGAGTGCACATCCGTCGGATGCGTCCAGGTTCTGATTGTAAGAGCCGTCACTTCATTGTAGCATACATGACTTGATATTATACAAACATGTATAGTTACCGATTCTTTGACATAAGAAAGCAACAAACCTCGGGACGATGCAATTAACAAGTCAACCTGGAGACAAAGTAGTTTGGAGTGTAAATGACTTGCAAGGTTATAGAAAAAGAATTCCTGTGAAGACTAAGAGTTGGATAGCTTTTTTCCTGTTAGTAGCATCCTTCATGACCTCAAACTTTTGTTGAATGTGCCTCCATTCGAGTTCGCTCTGGAGTTCGGCCTGGCTGCTCTTTACAGCGTAGGTGTAGGTGTAGCCGCCCTTGTTGAAATTCCAAAACTGGAACCTAAAGGACTGCTCTAGAGCTATGTATTCCTTCAAATTCATATTTCTGAACTTCAAAGGCCAAATTGTCTGCGCGGTTTGTGCATCCTGTTCAGTGTTGAATAGGAAAATGACCTGCTTCTGCTTGCTGATGGCTACCCCCAATGTCACCGTCGAAACTGACTATTGTACACAATTGGAAGTTTTGGTCTGGCAGTGTGCCATCACTTTCACGTGCGATTTCTCGACTGAGATGTACTCCCTTCGCATGCTGTAATATTGCTAACAAAACTGCCTACGGAGATTCAGCCCGGTGACCTCGGTTCCGCTCTTCCAAACTCGATTCTCGTACCACTGCTTCAAGGCGTGGGACTGGATCGGGTTGCCGACGGCGTCAGCAACGGGGACGTGTGCCGAGGACAGAAGATGCGTCGAATGCGCATTAGTTAGCAGCGACAACAAGGTGAAGGGAGCCACCAATTTATGCCTTGAATCCGCCATCGCGGCAGTTCTCCTGGTCGATAAATTGATTGATGTAGCGTTGGTTGATGAAGTTTCTTTTGTTGAGGATAAGGTGCGGCGTCCACTTGCACTTAATAGTGTCACAGAAAACCTTGGCAACCAGGATTGCAAAAGCTGTACCCAAGGAGTGCCCTGTGACCGAAACATTTTGGTAGCCAAACACCTTCACAACCCTGTCCACCTCCTTCTGCAGATGCTCGTAGCGTTTGTCTCTATCCAGACTCTGTCCCATCACCCTTAGGTTCGACACGATATCCTCCTCATCATCCGTTCATCGAACAGCGATCGCGACTGCAGGCGCTCTGGTGTATTGAAAGTACCAGTGTTTCTTGAAGACCGCATACCACGTCCCGGAACTCGTGATACCTAGCTCTTCCAAACTCATCTTGCTGTACCCATCCTTCTCCTATCTCCACTTCACCTCGTCCTCACCTCCCCAGTGCCCATGAATTTCATACGCCGCACCAACTAATCGGGCCATTAGCTTTGGAATCTCAATGTTCGTCTCATGACAAGCATCGCAATCGCTGTTCAGAGAAGACCACACAGCTTCATCAGAACATAAAGTAGAAGAGTGAATCTTCTTGTGCGAAACCAAAATTCTTCTAACCTGGTTCAACAAGCTTATAACAACATCGGCTTCACAACACACATCTACAGTCGTGTCGTATGCGAGTTCTTGTGCATTGGGAATGAGCATTATTTACCTGTGACTACCCAAGATTTGTATGTTGCACAAAATCTGTTTAGCCGCAGGGATCACTATCCTGCTCGCGAGTGGGAGTCACTGCCTGACAGGTCCTGATATGTGATCAGTCAAGCTTCAAAACCCAACCAAGAGCTCACAGAGAATAGGACTTCACTGTTTAGGATGGGCTCAATTCATGTTGGATGGCCATCCTTATCTGGGCACCAACTGATGAGCAGCATTTCAGGTAGTTGCTGAAGCAGAACCACATACCTTGCATACTAAGGAGAGTCGGGAAGACCATCGACACTCGACAAAGGTCCTTCTGAACAATATTCTTTAAACCCTCGTCGTATGCGTTTTCACTGATAAATATAGACAGCGCTTGAAAATAGCTGCAGGTGCAACAAGTGACGCGACGCCTCCACTCGACCACTACAATTTTCTCCCAAAAATTCTGATCTAGATATCCTTGCAAGAAACAAACTATAAGTTCAACTCAACAGACAAACAAATCCTTCCAAATCCGGAGTCTCTTGAAACATACAAGGAACGACAAATCAGACGTCTACGGAGGTTATGTTTTTGTCTGTAGAAATACAAAGGAAGGTGATTGAATTGGTAGTTCTTCTGAAAGAGAGTTTAGAACAAAAGCAATTAAGTATTGAGAAGAGGAGTCAAAACATAAATATTGTGAATTGTCTAATATGCTGGCAGTTGCAGTGAACTTGAGACCTATCCAACACTACTAGGTTTTTAGTTCTTGCATGTATTATTACAAAGCTCAAACTAAAAGCATGTATTATGTGTATATCTTTATTTTTATCAATAGGAATTAGAAGGTATAAGCTAGGTTTATATAATATGGAACTTAGAGTAACAGTTTTTATATTCTGAATTTTAAATTATAAAAATATAAAAATGATGTGACTTAGTTTTACTCTATTAATAATATGCATAACATACACTTGTAGAAATAATAAAAAGATTAATAATTTGTATGCATGTGTATATACATATATATATTTATATTTATATTTATATTCATTAAATTATATTCTTAATAATTAATCTTCCAAAAACTAATAACCTCCAATAATTAATCAAAGTTTTAGGAATTACCTCCAACTAGAATCTAGGTATCTAGTGTTGTTTGTTGTTCTATCATTTAATATTTTTTTGTGCAACAGATGATATTACTTACTGGAAAACATTTGTGTATGTGCGGATATATATATATATATATATATATATATGTACATTGGACTTAATTTATTAAAAAAATAAAACATTGTTTCAGAATACTATGATTCAATTACTTATAACACAAAAAAAAAAAAAAAAAAAAAAAAAAAAAAACATAACAAAAACAAAAACAAAAACAAAACAGTTACGCAAACATTCAAATAATTCAATAATATCAATATTCAAACATTCAAATAATTCAATAATAACTAAGAAACTAAATTAAAAGCTGTAAATTAAAATAGTTACTACTTTATATATTGGCAAATGTTAAGATAGATTTTATCAATGTCCCTTGCATTTTCCAATTAATTTTTTTTTATTATGCTGATATTATTTCTAATTACAATACCAAAAGAATTATTTTTTCTAAATTATCTTGTAATTAAAACTATGAGAGTTTACTTTTTTATTTTATGATATTTCATTCTAAATATTTACAATGATGTACATATCATAAAAATATTGTTTGGACTTGCTGGAAATTCGTCCTTTTTATTATGATTAACATTTAGAGTTAATTTCATGGTAATCAATGAGTTCATTGCAACAAGTTGTGATGGTTTTACTCATGAAGTTAATGATCCCACACAGGTCGAACAATACAATTACCGGAAGGGTATCAATCGGAAGGGTATCAACCGGAATGCTACAGTTATTAACCTCTTACCTTTTGCCACAAACAGCAATGTCACGGATAATCAATGCAGATGTGAAGAAGGCTATTTTACATCCTATTTTACTGTACAAGCCCTAAAAACCCTCAGTTCAATGGGAACTCACAAGAGGGCGTTCCCGAAACCTCTGTTCCCTAACCCAATACCGTTCCCAGGGTTCCCTTGGGAAGGGAACAAAGTATGTGCCTCAATCCCAGAAGCTCCTTTTGCGCTTCAGGGGGACCTGCTTTTGCTTGAGAACTCTGGGCATTGGGAACACGTTCCCTCCATGTTGTTAGTACTACATTCAATAATGGATATTTATATTATTTGATTAAATTCATTTCAAAAAATAAAAAATAAAAAAATATGTATGTATGTATGTATGTATGTATATATATGTATATATATAGGTTTATTTTCACTAAATTGTATGAATCTTTAAAAAGATATTACATTGACATTTCAACTTTTAATCAATGTTTTTTTTTTAATTATGAAAATTAGTCTTTGATTGGTTTTTACATATGTTTTTTATTAAAAATATAAAATTAATTAAAAAATAGTGGTGATATTTATAGAGAATTTTAAACTTTAGACTTCAAGTACCTCATGTTTATTAAGTGATGATATCAATGTTCTATTGTGTGTATGTGTATTAACAAGTATTAGTAATTATAGGCTATGAATTTTGTTCTGAGGTTGTCATGGACTTCACAAGGTGTAAACATATATGTATGTGTACATGTGTATATGTGAATATTCTGATACAGCTTTAAAATATTAACTAAAAATTAATCATATTGATTGAATACTCAATGGATCCATAGTTTTACATTTTAGAATTAAAGAATACTGCTTGATGATTTGTGAAAAAATTCATTAATTCATCCTTTTTTGTAAACGAATTCTTGCTTAGAAAAAGACTATTTGCTCTTGAAATAGTTGATTCATATATATATATATATATATATATATATAATCTATTTTACAGACAGGGTGAATTGAATCCCGAAGGAGTTTTAAGGGTGTCACTTATGTCAAGTCAGTGACATATTCAAACTAAAAGGAATCATAAAATTTGCAGTAATTCAACACATTGAAATTCAAACTATTCCAAATAAATTTGGAACTTTTTACTAGTATTTTAATTTTAAAAAACTCAAGGTTTAAGGTTTTCAATCACAAAAAATACAAAAATGCAGAAAGAAAAAGAACAAACAATATGATAGATTGAAAGTTTAAATAATAAACAGTTATGCTCTGTTCAAAAAGTTAAATTTATGTGAGAACTCACTTGGCCATCTCCGCTCTTCGTTTGTGTGCATTGGCAAGTTCGAGACCTTTTGATTCCGGAAATGAGGAAGTTTGCTCAATCCCACCTTTGATTTCTGCTCCAACACATACACGCTCCATTTATTCTGTCAACATTACAATATATTTTTTCTAACATATACCAATTATTCTTTCTAATAATACAATACTAACACAATTGAAGAGGGGGGGGGGGATTTGGCAATGCCTTGAATGAAATTTTTAGCCATGGCAATCTTGCCCTTTGCATCCTTGTCAACAGTTTTCTTTTGGGTGGAAATGGTGGCCCATTGTGCTTGCCGTGCTTGTTGACCATAGTTCTTTTTCCGTGTAAAGAATACACGCTGCTCCATCATCAAATTCCACGCGTGCCCAGTTTGGATATATTGACACACTAACTTTATAATATCTAGTGGCAAGTATGACACCACACTAAACCCACAAAAAACATCCACACAACAAAATTATAATAAGATACCATCAACTTATCCAAAAACTTAAAATAATCCTAAATTTATTTTTTATTATTTTTTCTTTTTTCTTTGGTATTTATTTGTTTTTTTACTTATATATTTAATCCATTTATTTAGGAGAATGTTAAATAGACCCACTTTTTTACTATATTCACCTATCTATGATGAAGAATATGGTAATCATGATAAATGTGGTTGGTTTTCATTTGTTTTAGATCCAATAGTGGAAAAATGAATCTAATGGTCATTTTTTTCTCATGATGAGTGGGTCAAGGTATATTTAACATTCCCCTTTATTTATTAAGTCTAAACAATGGTCATAGTGACTTACTCATAGAGCCAAACTACGCCAGCCCAACCCCAACCACATCCACGGGTGTGGGCAAATTCAATGTGGGCATAGACGGCAATGAGGGTGGCCACTAATTGTGCGAATAGGAATGCCGCAACTACGAGCATGCTTGGCCGGTCCATGAAAGACCATGTGCGCGCTCGTGTCACAAAAATTAGCGCTTGGCTTTGGATGCTCACTTGTAGATAGATCACAGATGTCTCCAACAATGGCTGGTTTGCAATGTCCCTCACCTGGAAGTGGAGAGTTGTACACAGTTTCCAACCCAGGATTATATCCTATTATTTTTTTTCTTTTCAGCTACATATAATATATTAAGATGCATGTGAATGAATGATAAAAACATTGAAATGAGTGTTGCTTAGAATTTATTAGTTCATGAAAACCTTGAGAATGCATTTGTATAAGATTATTTCAAAAAATATTCTAAAAGTCTTTGGTTTACAAGTATGAAGTTATTCTACTTCAAGAAAAACTAGCACACATTCTTTTATAAAAATATTGAAAACAGTTCTGAAAATTTGTAAAAAAATGTTGTTTAACAAAGTATATTCAAAAATTAGTTTATGTAAATAAGAAGAAAGAAAAAAGATAAACATGTTAGAAATGATAATTTAATCATTACAACATGTTTCAGAGTAATAATTAGAATTAGAAATAATAATTTACTGATGCTAGTAGTCAAAAGTCAGAAAATTATATTTGCCCACATGAATATAATCCTTCAAAAAAAAAAAAAAAAAAGGAAAAGAAAAAAAAAGGTTTTGTGCTGAATGTGATATATATATATATATATATATATATATATATATAAACATTTGATTATGCCTAGTTTTTATGAGAACAAAAATCCGTAATTGATAAATTATCAAGTTTATTTATAAAGTCAATTTTAATGGAAAGTTGGAAAAATTTGTTACATGGAAATGGTAAGTAAACCATTTTGTTTCGTGTATGAGATAATAGAATATAATTGTTATAAAAGCTTGATAAACACCCAAACATGTCCCTTGAATAAACAATTCTTCAAGCATCCATGAATCTGGTTTTTGAGAAGGAGTTACTATGTCCTTTGACAACCAAAAAATTAAAATAAATAAACAGATGGAATGTATGCAGTGGGCATTGTTTTGCCACATGTTTCATGTTTCATCATTATTTTAAAAAGAAGATAACCATTATAATCCAATAAAACTACATTATTTCTTTAAATTATAAATATCATTTTGAATTTCTTCTAAAATACAATAAAATATCAAACAAAGCATTTTTTTAATGGATTACAATTAATATAATCAAGTACATATGATAAAAGTAATTAATAATAACCTTTGAAATTGTCATCATAGTCCCATCGTTCAAAATAGCAATAACAAGCACCATAAATGGTGAGAAATCAAATTTCCAAATGAGGCACAGAAGGCAAAACCCCACAACAATACGAACGGTAATGGACACTGCGTAGATTGTGTAGTTCTTCATTCTTTGAAAGATGGATCTGCTTGTCAAGATTGCATGGATAATGACACTCAATCCTGCATAAATTTGGTCTTTTTCACATATTGGCTCATGTTTGTACAACATAGTCATATGATTTACGATTCTAAATTTTATATAAAAAGAAAAGGGACTAACAAAGATAACAACTCAAGAACTTTTTTTCAAAGACAATTACATGCAATTGAAGACTGTAGGTAGAAATTCACATGAAAATGCAACTCGTTAAAGAATAAGGAGACAGTAATTTCTATTATTTAACAAAGAATGTGGTAGGATATATATATATATATATATATATTAAAGAAGGCCATTATTTTTTTATTATTAATGTTTCCTCTACTTCTTCTGTGTATGTGGCTAGAACAAGCAAGCAAGCAAACCTGGCTGTGTCAAGACAATGTCGGCGGCACTGCGAGCGGCGTCGGTGGCGTTGGCAACAGCAATTCCGATGTCCGCTTTTTTCAAAGCGGGGGCGTCGTTCACGCCGTCACCCGTCATCCCACAAATGTGGCTTCGCTCTTGCAGCATTTTCACTATTTGGAATTTGTGTTCAGGAAACACTCCTGTGGAATGCTTCCAACTCTTCAGATACTGTGCTGACCAGTCTAAGCTAGATCTTTATTACACTCTCTCTCTCTCTCTCTTCTTTTTGCATGGAGTTGAGTGATTCACCGGCAAACCCATCAGCTTGTTCAATCAAGTCATGTGGGTCCATTCCGGAGATTCCAAGGTCGGTGTGGTCGTCTTTGTATTTGTTGAACAAGGCGGTGGATGGGTACATGTTGGTGCCCATTCCCAAGCGCCGGCCTGTTTCTTTGGCAATGGCGAGTTGATCACCAGTGATCATTTTCACCGACACCCCTAGCTCAAGCGCCCGGTGGACAGTGTCACTGGTGTCATGACGAGGAGGATCAAAGAGTGGCAAAATTCCAAGCATCTCCCATGGCCCTCCTGTACTCTCTCTTGTGCCTTCTGGCACATCCTACATGAAACCATTACTGTAAAATCTAAGATTCTTCGAATGAGCGGTCTACGATGATTGAGATGTTAGAGCCTTTGTTTTTATTTGTATGTACGTATGCAAATATGCAGAGATGGATGTTGAATCGAAGTGGTTTTTCACACAAATTCTTACTTGATAAGCGACACCAAGGCTTCTTAAACCATGGTCAGCGAATTTGTTCATAATGTCGTTCACTTTGGTTTCGATTGCTTCTCGGTTGGCTGCAAGCGCAAGGATTTGTTCTGGAGCTCCTTTGGTGGCTCGGTGCATTTTGCCATCGGGAGTTGTGTACGTCATGGCTGCACGCTTCTCAGTTGGGTTGAAAGGAAGAAAATGAACTTCTTTGATCCCTTTCCGTGCATCTTCAATGCTCGGAAGCATTGCACAAATCGCAAGGTCTATAGGATCCTGATCCACAGAAGAATCCCACCACGCATGGGCCAATTCATATTTATCTCCATATATAACGATTTGTATGCCATTACTACTCAAAAATCATTGAATCGATCTATCTCTACCAATCTACCTGTTTACTTATCTATGCATGTGTGTGTGTGAGAGTAGAACACCTGGTTTTCTACACGTGATGCGTGAGATGCTGTGAGAATGATCAAGTCTTTGTCTGCTGTCGCGGATGTGACTTCGATTATGGACTTATCCACAGTGAGGCAATTTAGGGTTAGGGTTCCTGTCTTATCCGAGCAAAGTATGTCCATGCCTGCCATTTCTTCAATGGCAGTCATGCGTTTCACTATGGCGCCTTGCTTGGCCAGTCCATAGGCTCCCACAGCCATCGTCACGGACAGCACAGTGGGCATGGCGATCGGTATACCACCGATGAGCAGTATCAAAAGATTGTCGATTCCAATGCGGTACGACCTCCCCTGGATTCCATATATGACGATCAACTCTAGCAACACACCGACCCCGATAGTTACCAAGCAAAAGTTTCCTATCCGGGTGAGCACTTGTTGGAAGTGGCCGGCACTGTGCGTCATGTCCACTAAATGCGCGGCTTTACCGAAGAAAGTGTGAATACCCGTGGCTATCACCAGGGCTTCGATCTCTCCTTGTTTGCAGATGGAGCCTGAGTAGACAGCTTCTCCGGACCGCTTGGTCACAGCCACGGATTCCCCTGTCAGAGAAGACTGATCGACAAACAGAGGATCACCGTCGAGGAGCCTGGCATCAGCAGGGATGATGTCGCCGAGCTTGATGGTGATGATGTCTCCCGGGACAAGAATGGCGGCATCCACCTCGGCATACGCACCATCGCGCAGGACCTTCGCCTTGGGAGCCAGCGCTTGCATGAGGGCATCGGCAGCGTCTCCCGCGTTGCTCTCTTCGACGTAGCTCACTGAAGCGTTCAACACCAGGAGGCAGGTGATGCCGATGAAATCTTGCCAGTCGGGCGGTTCCTTGCCGTCGTTGTCGAGCACCAGCGCCATGATCGCGGCGAACTCCATCACCCACGACAGCGGGTTCCACATGAACATGAGAAACTTGAGCAACTTGTTCACTTTGTGCTCCTCCAGCTTGTTGGGTCCCACGAGCTTGATGCGCACCTCGGCCTCGGTGGTGGAAAGCCCTTCGTGCGTTGCCCGCAGCTTCGTAAACACTTCCTCGAGGGACAGATGCTCGAAGTCTAGGTCCTCTTCCTCCTCCGCTTGGCCACCCTGGTAGCCCCCAGTATCCACTTCCTCCGGAAGCTCATACCTGTCCATCGACACACCCCTCGGCGCTATTCCTCGATCTCCACACTGCCGATTCCGAATTGTGGGTCTGATCGACCAGATGGTTGATGACCTGATCGAAATCCACACTGCTGAGACCGAATTGTGGGTCCGATCGACGAAATCCTTGCCGACCTGATCAAAAAATCAAACTGCTCGGATCTCGTCTTATCACGACACCAGTCTTGTCGCGAAATCGGTTTCTTGGAGCGAAACCATTCTTATTGCGAAACCATACTTACTGCAAAACCATTCTTTTTGCGATACCATTCTGATTGCGATAACATTCTCGTTGTTATATAATTCTTCTTGCGAAATCAGTTTCTTTTGTTCAAGATTTAATAACCGTTCGATAACGCTGCAAGAGCTCTGGATATGTTCATGATGTAAATCCATTGTGATACCAGTTTACAAGTGCATGTCTAATTCTGTTTTTCCAGTAACAAACTTGTCGTTGAATTTAGGTTACATCGCAGCGAATTGTTAAAAAAAAATCTGTTTTTTGTTTATATATATATATATATATATATATATATAAACATCGATAGATATTGAGTGGTTTGTCTTCGCTATGAACTCGATGTTCACTTTGCGTGCATGAATAAGTTCAATATATGAACCCTTTTCGAATGGTGTTCTTTTGCAAAAAACTAGAATGTACAACAAAATGTGTCAAGTGTGGTAAGATGTTCATTCCGATCAGTCATTCTAAGTTTTGTTTTGAGAAAATTGTTCATATCTAATCGGATCATTTTATTATAAAAATTATGATTGATATTTGAAGATACAATTGATATAGACAATCAAACACAATACATGAAAAATTTGTAAAAATTTGTAGAAAAAATCTAAATTAAACATCAAATAGTTTTACAATTATTATAGATATGATTGAAATTATAAAAACATAAACAATAAGGTCAATTATACATTTTTATTATCATACATTGAAAGTTTTTATATTAGCACCAACATCAAGTCTCAAAATAAATAGTTAAATAGAAGTTTTTGTATAGCAAAGGTCTAATTTGTTTCAGCAAAGTTAATTTAATTTATATATTTTTAAATAATTCAATTGCAACTTAAAAAGTGAAAAGAAAAAGAAATTACTCTATTAACTTCATTTATTACTATGATTGACATTAGAATTAATGTTAATTCTGACCATAAAAGTACATAGATGGCACGAGCTTTTTTAATAATTCTACTACCCTAAGTGATTATTTTTTGTGTTCTATTATTAATACTATACTCATATCTATTAAAAAACCAAGAATTGTCCTTTTTAAGAAGTTTGATAATATCAGGTTCAAATTCTAAAGATTTATTAACAAAACACAATTTGTCATTGACATCCAACCAATAATTTACTAAATTGTAACCTTTCATGTGAATTTCTTTGAAAAAATTACTAAAAGAATATGATTAATTTTCAATTATTATTTTTATAAAATCATAATCCTGTTTTGAATAAATTAGATGTATTTCATGCCGAATTTTGATCTATGTATAAAAAAAATTATGTAGGTTGAATTAGCTTCAAAAACATTTGGATCTTCTAATCTAAGAATCTATTGTATTTATAAATTATTTATAATTTTGAAAACCAATAATAAATGAAAACCAAATGCTTTTTTTATCAACTAATTTTTTTACTTGTTACAAAATAAGATTACAAAGTTTATGTTTAATTTGCACATTTATTAAAAGATTGGTCTAAATATTGGTTTTTTTGTCAGGTGTAATAATCACATTTTGAATTCTATTTAAAAACTTGTGTAATCGGAGATTAGTGCTTCCATAATCCTGCAGAAATTATAAATATTGTTCATAATGTAAAAGCAGAAGTAAAAGATATATTGATTGATGGAATAAAATTTGGAATTCTTACATATTAAAAATAAATTAACATCAATGGAAAGGCTTGTATTTATATTATAATAAACTTAAATACATTATTCAATATTTTTTGAAAAAATATCATGTCAATTAAATAAAGAGTATAGTTGTAAAAAATCAATTATTTAAAATTAAATTTATTTAACAACAATAGGAATTGTGTTGTTAAATTATTAAATTGCACTATCTTATAAATATTTTATATTTTTATTATATATATATATATATATATATATATATATATATATATTATTTTTCATTTTAAAGCATAAATTTTATTAATTCCTAAAAACCATATAATATCCAATTTCGACTTATTAAATTTTAATTTTTTGGCTCATTTGCATGATAACTATTTAAAAAAATTATTAAGCAAATATCTCTTCTGAAAACCTTAAAATTAAGATAGGAGCACAAGAGAATTTAATAGATGTTAAGAATATCAAATTGTTTACCTACATAAGATTAGATGAAAGAAGTCAAGAAAAAATCATCTCTCCCTGATAATGGATGCATATTAATTGAAGAAAGATGAGAGTGACTTACCTATGTAGAGTAAGAAGATGATGTCAAAGGTGATTGTCATCTTCTTCTCCAATTGATACAATTCAAAAGAAAGATAACAAATTAGTAGAATACAAGATATTTGACATAAGATGGTGTTCAAATTTTTATTTCTAATCTTCTACTTAGATAATCTAAAGCAAGTCAGTAAGACATGGGTAGCAATATTAACAAGTGTCACCAAAATCCAAGTATTGAATTGGACCAAACATCTCTTGTATCAATGTATTTGTAAGTAATTGATAGATTGAAAACTTGGCAAATAAATTGATATAAAAAAAAAAAAAAAGACTTGATAAATGTAAATAAATAAGTGTGACTTCTTTCAAAAAAAAGAATGATATTATTATTAATAATAATATATTAAAAAAATTAAAATAGCTATTGCCAAAAGACAAAAAAAACTAAAGATCCTTGAAACTAACTAGAAGCAAAAAATAAAGTTGACAAGATTAAAGAAGGCTTTATTCTTGCCTCCATAAATACTACATAACTAAGGGCTATGTAACAATGTTTTATAGAACCTCCAACATGTGTTTAATTTGTAAGACACATGTTTTAACTGACAAGGCAAGATTCTTATATATGTGCAATATGATTAGCTTGTACCACAAGCTACTAACACATTATTATATGGCTTGATTTGTGATCTAGAAATATACTAGATACCTAGTAGTAGAGAGTTTGGCTTTAATTTATTGGTCAAGCTCTAATAAGTGATATATTCTTATTATAGAAGATAAATAAATACAAAAATATTAAAATATATTCTACTAATAAAATCTTTTATATTTAATAAGATTTGTATATAAGGCTTTTTAGAGCATCTATAAATTTTCTAACATCCTTTGTTACACCAAATCATAATTAACCATTTGCTTATAGGTTAGATTTTTAATAATTTCAAAGAAAATCCATAATCTCCTTTTAAAAACTCATATTTATATTGTAATTTTATTATAGCTCTATATCTCCATCTTTAACATATATATAAAGTCTTGGCTTCTAAAAATTCCTTTATTTTGCATAAAAAGGTCAAATTGTAGCAAAATCTTTTCATTTTTTTCTTTCTACAATGGGGTTTTTATCCCTAAACTTTAGAATTTCATATGACTTAATCTATTAGTTTAATTTTTTTCAAATTTTTAGATAATGTAGCATTTATGCTTAAGCTTTACTACATAAAAAATAAACTATAGATTTATTCATATTATTTGGCATCTTAAAAATTTTAGTAGATATTCTAGATTCCAATTTATAAGCACTCCAGTACTATTTTCTTCATATCTCAAAAATCCAAAACTCAAATGCTAAAAAATTAAGTATGTAGCTTTATAAAAAAATTAAAATATATAATTTTAGATAATTTTAATTAAAGATTTGTCTAAATGCTCAAGATATGACTAGAATCGAATCCTTCATAAAATTGGTTCATTGACAAATCTCAATTTAGAAGCGTTGTCTTCAAGCAATTGTTGCTCCTTCAAATCAACTCGATTTTTTTTTTCTTTTTTTCTTTTTTTCATACAAAACTTAGTTCTTTAAATCAACTTCTCAATTATATAATCCAATCCTCAAAAGTCCTTCATATGCATGCACCATGCTCTAAATAGTGATAGTAGGTACAAAATCAATACCTTGACTTTGAGAGCCTTTATTTCCTTTACAAAAACTTCAAATCACACATGATTTTTACCAAAACCATACTTAAAATCCTAAATTTTATGTTTTTAACCTTTGATGTTTGAATGTCTTCAAAAGAATAATCTTAATTCCTAATAAGACCTCAAGGAGCCTCCTTGAAGCCTATTTGGCATGACTTTTGACTAATAGGTATAGAGATTTTCATCATCTATCTCCATTCATCTATATAGATGGCTTATTTATCTCTTTTCATACAAAAATATTTTTTTTAACTTTTTTTAATAAGTTTTATATAATATGTGTCCTAAATATCAAATAAAAAATAAAAAAAGATTTCCAGAGTCATTAATGTCTAATAAAGGTAGTTTTAAATATATTATATAATAAATTATACATTAAATATTTATATACATTATTTTCACATAGTAGCCAAACCACAATACTATAATCTGCAATACGTGGCTAACTTGCTAGCCAAATGTTCAATGTACCAATCACCTATAGACACATAGAAAGGTGAAACCATATCTATGAAGCTTTTAAAAAGCTATTCTATAAGATATTATCAAATTAATCTAATTTTACATACTTCCACTTATTCATATTCTTTAAGTAATTATTGGAATAAATATATATATGTCTATGATAATTAATCATATGTTATATATATTGATTTATGGTATAGATTGGTGATGTGGAGCATATGTAAGAAATTTGATTTATAAGTTAGATATATGTCTTGCCAATTAAACATATGTTGAAGGTCTTATAGAATATTGTCATGTGGCTTTTAATTAGATATTATATATGGAGGCAAGAGTGAAGCCTTCTTCATTCTTGTTAATGTCTTTTTTATTCTTAGTCTTATTTCAAGAGTCTTTAGTCATCTCATCTTTAATAATATTCATTCTATTTATAATATCATACTATCTTTAAGTAAATATCTATTATTTTAAAATAATACAAGAGTGAATTGAAGTTTTTATTGTTAATGATTCATGTCCTTGATAACTTGACTTAATTCTAAGCACTACAATAAATTTAAGTAAGAGTTGAATATCATCTATTTTGTCTTAGATATATCATTATATTGAATTAGTCACCTTCTTACTATAATAAAAAAAGAATAGTGGATAAAGAAAAAAATAGGCTACTAGCTTTAAGAAATCAAGTAGTAAGAAGAAGAAGAAGACAACAATATAACAAAAGTAAAGCAAACTTCCAAAAAAATATTATTTCTAAGCTTGTGAGATAGTACATTATTCTTCTACTTGAATCAAAAAAGAAGACAAAACAAGAAGAATAGCCACTTGACTGTAGAAAAGAGTGTTAGAGATTTTACTATCTCACCACAAATTACATTGTATATTGATGCTTATATAATTTTTGATAGATTATTTATTAAATACTATTAATTCTAGAAGATACTACATTGATTAGCTATATGGATGGAAGCTCCTAAAGATTTGATCAAGGTCCTCAAACTAATCAACGTCATAAAAAATATTCAAAAGATGAAAAGGTTAGACACTACAATAAAAGAATAAAATATAAAAATTGAAAAAAATAAGAAAGAACTCAAAAAAATTCTAGATAATCTTTTAAAGGCCAATGAAGAAGTTCATGTCGCAAAGAAAGAGAAAAATTAGAATAAACAAGAAATTTGATAAAACAAAGAGGAATTAGTCAAATTCCAAGTAAAAATGGTGAAAGGCAAGGCACCTAGAAAGATCTTGATCTTGAAAGTATAATAGAATAAGTATAGAGAGTTCATAAGAGTTATCTTTTAATTGCTTGAAAAGCAATTATAGTGAATATATAAAATTAAGAAGTACTTATTAAAAAGTTTTGAAAGATGTCAAGTGATTTTTTTCATGTTGGTAAGATCAATAAATTACTTGGAGAAGATAATTATCATGTATAGAGCTTGAAGATGAAGACTTTCTTACAAGTTGAAAGTCTTTGAAAGCTCACTATTGAGAAGTTTATATTAGCAATATTTCTTTGTACATTATTAAAAATTCAAATACATGAGATGAAAGCAAAGGTTATGAAAATTTTAATGTTTACTATAAAAGATTATGTTATAGATATAATGAAAGAACATGAAGACCTTGCAAATACATAGATGGCATTAAAACAAAAATATAAAAGTAAAGATCTAACTATGGTATTCAATCTTAATTATAAATTATCTATATTGAAGTTTCAAAATTTTATCTCTATAGAAGAGTTTCTAAAGATTGCACAAGAAATTGAGAATCAACTTATAACACTTTGTAAAAAAATTCCAACTAAGACTCTTATAAAAATTATGTTGAATAGTTTACCTTCTTCATTTGATAGCTTGGTATATAGTTTAACTTCAATAGATCAGTTTCAAATTTTTGAGAAGATATTATCAAAACTTATCTTAGAAATTCATAAGCTACAATTAATATCAAATATAATTGATAATTTTGGAAGTAAGGCCTTATAAATACAAATATCAAGATAAAAATTTAATACAAGATATACAAAAAGAAAGACAAATTACTTATCTCATAGAAGAAGTTGACCTATTTAAAGAGAATGAAGAATAATAAAGAATTTTCAATCTGAATAAGAAGCTTATCTAATTTATTGCTTTGTCTATAGAAAGCTAAATCATATGGCTAAAGATTGTAAATTTAGAAATTTTCTATCAAACATTAATAAGCTTATAACTAATATTATTGAAACTAAAGATAGTTCTTCAAATTTTGAGCAAAAAGAAGTATTCAAAGAAGTAGAAGTTAACCTTATAAAAATTGTGAAAGAAAGAAAAGAAGATTCCAACTAGTATCTTGATAGTAGAGCCTTGTAATATGTAACAAGCAACAAAGTGGCATTAAAATCACTCAAAATATCAACACATTTTCATGAAATTAGAGTTGCAGGAAGAAAACTGCACAATACATTTGAATAAGGAGAAATATTGAATGAAATTAACAATATAAATTTAAAGAAGGTAAGTAATGTGCTATTTTTACCTTTTTTAAAGAAAAGTTTGTTAGTAGGTTCTTTTACAAAAAAAAGAAACATTGTGATATTTTCAGCGAATAAATTTTAAATTATTGGAAAAAAATAAGACCAAAATATTATTATTACTACATATTAAGAATCTAAAAATAGATTATATTATATCAATCAAATTATGTATGAGGTAAATTTTACTATTATAGAAAAATCTAAACTACGGCATAATCAACTTAGATATTTAGCATATCTAAGTTTAAAATAACTTTATATAAATAGAAAGGTCAAAAGATTATCTTTTATTGAAGTTGTAAAATTTACAAGTAAAAGTAAAATAAGAAAATGTATATTCATTGGCTATAATTTAAATAGCAAAGAATATTATTTTTATAATCCTAAAAAAAAGAAAGATTATCATTAGTAGAGATGTTATTTTTTATAAAATCAAGATTGAGTATCAAAACATTGAAACTAATTATAATAAAGAAGAATTTGAAGACATATTGTCTAGATTGGCCAACAATTCAAAAGAAGATCATGTACCATCAATAGACAAATAAGAAATTCAAAACAAGGAATTAGAAGATCTATCTATTTATCCTTAAATACACCTAAAAACTATAGAACAACTATCAATTGTATTATCACAAATGTCACTTATTTCTCCATCTTAAATAAGACAACTTTCAACAAGAAAAAAGATAGAAAGTTATAAACAGCCTTCTACTAAGCTTCAAGATAGCTAATTATTAACTATATATTTTGAATAAGATCCTATAGATTATTTTTAAGCAAGCAAAAATAAGAAGTAGAAAGAAGCTATCAAACAAAAATAAGAAGTATTAAAAAAAATAATACATGGAAAAGATGAGACTTATCAATTGAAAAGAAATCTATAACATATAAATGGATGTTTAAAAACAAGAATGAAGTTGAAGAAAAAATTTAAAATATAAGGCTTGAAAAATTACTTAAGGCTTTAAATAGCAAAAAAAAGATTTTTTAAAAACCTTTATTCTTATCATAAGATGGAATACTATTAAAATAGTCATGATATTAGTTGTATCTTATAAATGGCAAATAAAGAAATATGATATTAAATTGTATTTTTAAATGGTGTTTAAAAGAAGAAGTGTATATAAAAATTCTACATGGCTTTGAAGAATATAGAAACAATGAAAGGATTTGCAAATTCAAATGAGCCTTGTATAATCTTTGAAAGTTTCCTTGAACTTGGTATAGTAGGATTGATAAGTACCTACAAAAGATTGGATTAAGAAAATTAAATGCAAATTCTAATTTTTAAATTTATTATTATGAAAAATTATATATATTTTTATTTTTATATGATGATAATTTAATAATTATAAGAAATAATAAAAAATAAATATTAAAAGTTATAAAATGATTATAATTAGAATTTGAAATAGCAAGTATAGAAAAAGTTCAAACTTATTTGGATAGAGAGTTTAAATACTTTAAAATAGTATAATTTTTCATCCAAAAAACCATGTAAATAGTATTGGTAACATATTTGGTATATATGATTGCAATCCTTGTACAACTCCAATAGATAAAGGCTTGAAAATCCAGAATGAAAGGAGAAGCAAATTAGTTGACAAAACTAAGTATAAAAGACTTGTTAGAAGTCTTTTATATTCATCATATATTAAAAGGCTCAACATCAATTTTGTAGTCAATAATATTAGATATTATACATTACCACAAAAACCTCATTGAAAAGGAAAAATGCACATTTTAAGATATGTAAAGGGAACCATTGATTAAAAAATTCATTATCGAAAGATAAAACTTGGACAACTTATTGCTTATCCTGATACTGATTAGAAAAGAAAAATTAATTCAAGAAGATCTACTTCAAGTCTTTTATACATGAGTTGTAATTCACCTCTTCACTAGAGCTCTAAATTATAGAGTTTTCCAACAATTGAATAGTCTATTTTTGCTAGATAAAATACAATATTCAGCTTCAATTATGGATAATGCAACAAGTCTATTATACTTAGTTTAATAGTCTATTTTTGCTACTTTAGGAAGTTGCAATCTATAATTTGAAGATAATACATTTAATTGATAAGTCTTTCTATATCCTCTCTATATACAATAATAAATAACCCGAATTCATATCTAAATATGTATAAAAAATTTGTAGGTTGTATATCTTTAACTATGATACTTTGTCATAGTACTACAATTTAAAAATTTTCTCCTTAGATACTTTATAATCACTACTACAAGTAATAAAATATGTTTTTTAGTATAAATTTTAAATTTTAAATTACATCGTATAAGGTTATTTTTAGGTATAGTTTTTCTTTTAAAGTATATATTTTTAATATTAAAATACTTAAAAGAATTTATATAACATATCTAAAAAATTCCAAAAGTCACATTAAAACCATGTTTTTATTCAATTGTTATCAAGATAGTAATAAATTATTTATTTCTCACGTCTATTTTTTTTTAATGAAAGATGCAAGTTCTTACCAAAAAAATTATTTTTCCATTTAAAATTATGAACACTTCTTTAAAGAAATATTTGTCCATCTAAGTACACATGTTTTGTAATGCACTCTACTTGTCTTTTGGGTGTTCTATACATATTCTAAAGAATAGCATATAATATCAATTTTTATATTGTATGATTTTTATTTGTACTCAACAAAGAAGAACCTTTAGTCCAAAGAAATTCTCCCATAAATCGTAGCTTCAAAATTATACTCAAAATAGGAACTCAAGCTCTGATAGTGGCATAGTTTTTCAGACAGGCAAACAAATAGAAGAAAAAGAAAATGAAAGAATGATTGGGTCTACAAAACGGAGACCCCGCTTGAGTTCAGCAGATACCTGCCGACGTACCGAGCTCCCGATTCCACTTGTCGTCGCGACTGCCGTCTTTCCTACCTGCCAGACGCGGAATCTCGCAACATGGCGGGTAGGAAATCCAGCTGGTAGGTACCACGGCTGGGGAAGGTCGCGTCGAAGGGGCAAGGAGGCAGAGCCGTGAGGTGAGATAGAGCATGGGGCCGAAACCCAGAGCGAAGCAGAGAGCGAGAGATGATTCCGGTGCGCTCGACTGCCACTTGTAGGCGATAAGATCCACCACTGGAGTTGCAATGGCGGCTTAATTGATGCATTGAAGTCTCAGTGCTGCCGGGAGAGAAGGGAGAGAAGGCGCTACATGTGGTCGCGGCGAGGGCGTGGAGCTTGGGAGTTCAGGGGTTAGCTGGTATGTGGTCGCAACCGGGTTGTGGGTTGTGATCTGTCGTGTTTCCGATGAGGTGAAAGTTTTGGTTGGAATTCGAGTTGCGATGCGGGCTAGAAATTTGGCGATTGGTGGTGAGATTGCGGCGCGATTCGCACATGTGGAAGAGGCAGATGGTGTGCGAGAGTCGTTTTGTGGTGATCGTGGGGTGAGGTTAGGGTGATCAATTTTATGCCGATGTCGATTTTGAAGTGGAGTTTCAGTCGTTCCTTGTTGTGCTGGAATTGATGAATGTGCAACGGCGCATGAAATGGGTCTCATTTACGTCCATCGGGGGTGGCTGTTCTTGCGTTTGAGGAGTCGCCATTAGTGGCCTTTAGTCTAGATGTTCGCTGGCCTTGTGCAAGTTTTGAGTTGCGTGCATGTGCAGATTTTTCATTATATCGATATTGGTATTACTCATATGTATTATATGGCACACGAGGGTTGTGAACCCAACACCGCTTTGATTATGAGTAAAATCCGGCAGTGCTCCTACAGCATGAGCAGACGGTGTGATGACTACACAAAATAAATGTGACGAAATTGGGGGTGCAGGGTTTGATTGTGGTGTGCCGGTTGTGCTGAGAGCAGGATGTGGGATCGGCGGCCGGGTCCGAGGGATTGATACTGTGAGAGATTATGGCGACGATCCACCAGACGAACTGCTTCTGCAAGAGCGTGGCGTCGAATAATAGAATTGAGAAGGTCTTGACTCCAAGGCTGCAAGATGTTGGGGTTACCACTTCTCGTATCAGCCGGACATTGTCGTTGAAGACGTCGGCAATTGAGGCCCTGGTGGTGCAGGTGACTCCTCTGAAGGCTGTCTCATCCTCGTCTTCCAGCCGCAATGGCGTGTGGTGCAGCGCGGTGGAGTCGTCCATCGGTGCATGGCCGCAAACCCCCGCGCCCGAGAACACTCTGACGTTCTCGGCCGACCCCAGCGAAAGAAACCAAGAGCAGGAGCAGATGCTGAAGGATCTGGCGGACTCGGACGAGACGAAGCGCGCGAAGACTCTGCTTAACGTCGTGTTCGTGTCTGCGGAAGTGGCGCCGTACTCGAAAACCGGTGGGTTGGGAGACGTGTGCGGGTCTCTGCCGATTGCGCTGGCACAGAGGGGGCACCGCGTGATGGTGGTGGCTCCGCGGTACATGAACGGGGTGACGGACGCGATGTACGAGGGCGCGTTCGATTGCCAGTGCCGGATTCCGGTGGCGTGCTTCGGGGCGACGCACGAAGTGGCGTTCTTTCACGAGTTTCGGGCGGGGGTGGACTGGGTGTTCGTGGACCATCCGTCGTACCATCGGCAGGGAACGCCGTACGGGGATACGAGGGGCGCATTCGGCGACAACCAATTCAGGTTCACTCTTCTGTGCCACGCAGCGTGCGAGGCGCCGTTGGTGCTGGCGCTGGGCGGGTACACGTACGGGGAGAAGTGCGTGTTCGTGGCGAACGACTGGCATGCGTCGCTGGTGCCCGTGCTGCTGGCGTCGAAGTATAGGCGGCACGGCGTGTACGTGAACTCGCGGTGCATTTTGGCGATCCACAACCTGGCGCACCAAGGGGTGGAGCCGGCGACGACGTTCAGCAACCTGGGCATCCCGCTGGAATGGTACGGGGCGCTGGAGTGGGTGTTCCCGGAGTGGGCTCGATTGCACGCGTTGGACAAGGGGGAGGCGGTGAATCATCTGAAGGGGGCGGTGGTGACGTCGGATCGGATTCTGACGGTGAGCCAGGGGTACGCATGGGAGATCACGACTCCGGAGGGAGGGTGCGGGCTGGACAAGCTGCTGGGGAGCCGAGCTGCTGTGATCAACGGCATCACGAACGGCGTGGACGTGGACGACTGGAGCCCTTCGGTGGACCGGCATTTGCCTGCGACGTTCACGGTGGGAGATATGGCGGGGAAGGCGGAGTGCAAAGCCGCGCTGCAGAGGGAGTTGGGGCTGCCGGTGAGGCCGGAGGTGCCGCTGATCGGGTTCATCGGGCGGCTGGATTACCAGAAGGGGCCGGACATCGTGCAAGAGGGGTTGCCGGAGCTGATGACGGACGACATCCAGGTGGTGATGCTGGGGAGCGGGGACACGGAGATGGAGAAGTGGATGAAGTGGGCGGAGACGCAGTACAGGGAGAAGTTCCGGGGGTGGGTGGGATTCAGCGTGCCGGTGGCGCACAGGATCACGGCAGGGTGCGACATCCTGCTGATGCCGTCTCGATTCGAGCCATGCGGGCTGAACCAGCTGTACGCGATGCGGTACGGGACGATCCCAGTAGCGCACGCAACGGGCGGGCTGCGGGACACGATCGAGAACTACAACCCGGATGCGAACAACGGAGAGGGGAGCGGGACGGGGTGGATATTCTCGCCGCTGTCGAAGGACGCGATGGTGAACAGTCTGTGGGGCGCGATCTTCGCGTACCGGAACGACAAGGAGGGGTGGGCGCGGATGCAGGAGCGGGGGATGGAGAAGGACGTGTCGTGGACGCGGTCTGCGCTGCAGTACGAGCAAGTGTTCGAGTGGGCGATGATCGATCCACCGTATGCGGCGTAAGGCGTGTGCAGGGCATTTTTTTTTTAGTGGATGCTCTAATAGAATCTTCTCGGTTAGATTGGGTTACTCAATAGTGTTGGGATCCATGGTTTCCTTTCCGTCTTTAACTATTAATGTTGGCTGTTGAAGTTTAGGTTTCTTTAGAATTTTCCCGAGATATAGTTGTAGTGTTTACGAGGAAGTGTAGGTTCAGGTAGTAAGTCGTGATCTCTTATTGGTAACCAGAACCGTAATCTTGTGAATTACTGCAAATTAGGAGAATTTGCTACAAGAGTGTTCTGGAGGTGGTGTTTCTTCAGAGAGGTTCTTTTTAGTGGAATTATTATGCTACAATATTGCACTTAATGTGATTAGTTTCTCATACGATGAGAAATTTTTCCTTCATAGAGAATGTCATCAGTTGTTTATTCCAAGTGAGATGGATAAATTTACTTTGTGGGTCTGGTTCGTTTAAAGGTTTGTGTAAATCTTCGGCCGATGCAGTGATCCTGACTTGTGTACTCTCCAACTGCTGTAACAGTCTTCGGCGGAGTGGTTTAAACTGTTTTGGTTCATTAGCGATTGCCGCACTATTCGCAACTGTTTACCAGCTGAAGGTGTTTGCAGATACTATGACTGTGTTGCAACTTTATAAAGAAAGCCGCTGAGTCTCATGGGAACTTTGTTAGAAGTGTTTTCTTTCAACTTTGGTCTTCTATGGGGGCAATGATTGGTGGGTTCATCTTGGAACTCACTTTCGGTGCGTTAGGATGGGCTACCTGGTGACTGAATGGTTGTGTGGCTGTCTGTTTCTCAAATTTGAATTCCTTGCTCCTTGATGTCCGTCTACAGGACCAAGTATTTCCCGGTTAGTGTAAATCTATGGGTTGTGCGGTCAGATGGATAGTGTCTGTTGTTGTCTAACAGCTATCTGGGTACGAGTTTTGCCCTACTCCAACGTTGTTGATGTTTTTAGTGTACTCCGGCCTTGCGGTTACACATGATATTTGATGAACAGTGAGAGCTGGATATACTTACATTGCGTGCTTAGAATTCGAATCGCCCAAGGTATTATTCTTGTTATTTGATGAGGGTGATGCAGATGCATTGTAAGGGTCAGAGTCATTTTTAGCTGGAGCAAACATTGAATTGTTTCCAACTAGCATGTGACAAGTTACTACCTTAGTGCTCCGATTCAAAAGCGGGATGCGATGCAAGCCAGTTATCTGTAACCTAGTAAGCCGTTAGAGAGCTATCATGCTTTCCACTTCAAACATACAGCACAACAGAAGATGTCAACTTCACGAAAAACCATACAATACTAGAGTGACCCGAAATTTATGTTAGCTTGGAGTCCTTGATCTCAAGTTTTCTGGGTTTCCAGCATTCTTTGGAGGAACAAGACGAATGAGCAAATCTTATTATATTTCTAAACTTGCACCTTCATGTTAGCAATCTACCAGTCACAAGTGGCCACAAGACTGATGAAGTCCCAGAGCGGATACAACACAACGTATATGCTAATAACCTTGTAGCGAATTAACGGCATCCATTGAGGACAGACAACCGAACTCCAATTTAGTGTTTTTACCTCTTCAGTCTAGTTTCACCCAAGTCGAGATACTTTTTGTTTAAGAAACTGTTTTTCTCTGATAAGATTCTTGTACTTTTCCTCTTCGATGTTAACTTTTCCACAATGACTGGGAAGTTGCATATTCAACTTGCCTGGCTGCTAGAACAAGATCCAGAAATTGTTTTCTCAGCTTTGGCTGTTCGTCATCTCATGTACACAAGTACTATCTTGTGAGGGTTCATCTCTGGAGGTGCATAATACCAAACTAATTATCTCAAAGAGTTTGGGCAGTAAAACCTGCAGAGCTGATTCCAATTCGTCAAGCTCCCAAGAGATCGCTCTTTCTGCAGAAACCTCCGAATATATTTGCTCTTCTTCATACAGTGCGACACGCAATCCCACCACTTCCTCCATCACCTGCAAACGAGAGATGATTATCGAGGGCTCTTCCGAACGATGCAATTGCACGCTATCGGGTTAATTCGGTTTTAGGTTCTAGCAGACAGCGGATATTAACATTCTACAGGATAATTAATTGCTCATGCAAAACCCACAAGGCTTCATCATGTTTCGAGATAATCATCTAGCTCCAGATTAAGCAAAGATTGAAAGAAGATATTTTCTGTCATTCTTCGAAAGTTTTTGCCTCGGTTCCAAAAGAAGAATATCCAACCAACAAAGGAATCGGCTACACTTGTGTCCCTGAATTCCCTATCATTACGAGGGTATACCTCAAACTCACAATACAATATAACTTACTTCTGATTTATGCACAACTCTCCGGTGCCTCCAAAAGCTGAAAGCCATGGTGCTAAACAATGATCGGAAGTCATTCAGTATATCCTGGTCCCAATCACGTTCAGTGCAAGTTGATGCTACTTGCTAGGACAGACAGCGATCAACCATACCATTCAACTCCCTGCGAATGCAAAAAACCAATACTTCGTTGCTGTGCTTCTAAAGCATTCAGCCTACATGATAACCACTAAAGATCTCCGTGTCCTTTTCTCTAGGTCTGCATCTTACTTGGAAACTGTTGAGATCATTAAATGTAGCTCTCCATAATATTTACTGTAGACTACAATAATTATTGTAACTATAGTATTTAGAGTCTAGTGGAGAAGTATTGTTCATCCTCTCCTCTTCTCTCTTCTTGTATACTAGACACAACCAGATCAATAGATTTGTGTGTGAAGCTTTCTCTCCTCAGAAACCCTCTTGTGTGTATGACTTACTACTACTCTTGTGTGTGTATGACTTACTACTACTCTTGTGTGTGTATATGACTTACTATTACTCTTGTATCTTTCTAAACATTCTCAACACGTTATCAGCACGATTCTCTTCTACACACTATCACAATTTTTTGCTCTAGTCTTTGACTCTTCAAACCTGTTGCTATCCTACTCAATGTCTGGGTTATGATCTTGTTCTTCTTGCTGGCCCCTCACACATTAGCTGCTTGTTTAGAGCACTTGTTCCACTCCCTGCCTTGCTTGCTCTGAATACTTGATCTAGCCCAACTCCACCCTTTGCCTGCTCCTTGCTCCCTGCTCCCTGCTGTGCCCCGCGCCTACTGCCAAACTGCCGCCAAATCCACCGCTGCCACCCTATCGCTGCTGATGCTATCGCCTGCTGCCTGCTGCTGCCCGCCACTGCCACCCTGTCGCCCTACTGCTGCCTACTACCACCATCTTATTTCTATTCTGTTGCCTTAATCTACAACTTTTTCTCTTTATATATATATATATATATATATAATTTTATTTTTTCAAGTTCAAGTTTATCATTTTATTTGACTTCATATTTTAAGGTACGTTTTACTCAACTTTTCTACTTAATTTTGTATTTTCTTGACAGATTTATTTATAATGAGTACTTCAACATCTTCAACTGCTTCTACTATGGTTCCAACTATTATCAGTGCATCCCAATATTTTCAAGTTCTTTTATTTCCACCATTGACTGATGATGGAAACAATTATCTATTATGGGCAAAAATAGCAAAAACAAATTTATATGCAGAACAACTCTTGGATGCTATTATGTTTGAAGAATCTCCTACAACAAGTATTTCTATATCTCTTGTTATTCATTGGAAAGCACTTCTTCTCCTTCATCGTCATCTTGTACCCGCATTACAACATCAATATTTGGAAATGGAAGACCCTACAGAACTTTGGAAGAATCTTAAATCTAGGTTTGATCATCAAAAGACCATTTTTCTTCCACGTGCACGTCATAATTGGAAACATTTACGTGTCTTGGATTTTCCAAATTTAAATGCTTTCAATAGTAAAATATATAGTATTGTCTCACAATTACGATTATGTGGACAAAGCATTTCTGAAGAAGAAATGATTGAAAAAACTCTCTCTACATTTCCTCCTGCATCTGCTGTACTTGCACAACAATACAAGAACATGAAATTTCAGAGTCATTCTGATCTCATGTCCTATCTACTTCTTGTGGAGAAGCAAAATGAGCTACTCTTACGTAATGCAAAAGCTCGTCCTATTGGAACTACAGTTCTAGAATCTCATGCACTTGATATTTTAAAGTCTAAGAAGAAATTATATAAATATGGGAAACGTGCACATAAGTATCAGGGTAGTCATAGTCAAGACCATTTCTATCCATATGGAAAGAATAAACGTTCTATTATTAATTGTAGTAGAAAACAAAAATCAGAGATGCGTTCTTGCCATAAATGTGGAATGATTGGACATCTAGCACATGCGTGCCGTACTTCAAAATATTTTATTAAAATTTTCCAAGAAAATAAGAAATTACGAGCTGAGGCTCGTGAAGTTCATACCATGGATGCATCCATGGATTCATTTGGTATTGATGACTTAGAGGCTTATATGAATGATAGAATCTCTAATGATGAATCAAATGATGCGCTTATTGATTCTGCAATACATACTATCTTGCAAAATAGACGATTTTTTATTGAAAAATCTTCAACTTGGCAAACTAAAAGTATGACGACCATGGCTTGAGCAAATGTATTTTGTTTCTAAGAGGGCACAACGATGGTAAAATTACTTGCGGGTTCCATCATAAAATGTAAACATGCGATGTTTGCACCATCAGCACCTCGGAGTCTGATCAGCTACCGAGATGTGCGTATTAATGGTTATCACCTCTCGACTGCCACTTTAAATAGAAAAGAAGTTTTGGTTCTTACAAAGAATCATAAAGTTGTTGAAAAAGCTTTTGCTACAGAAAATGGTTTATACCGAATTGTGATTTGGCCTCCCATTATATTTAATTTTGCATCATCTATCTTAGAGAGTCGCGTTTCTCTCTAGCATGGACAATTGGGACATCCAGGATCCACATTATTTAGAAAGATCATTCCATGTATAACTAGGCACAATTTAAAGCCTACAGATGTAGACTCTATGCAATTATGTCGTGCATACGTGCAAGGTAAAATGATTACTCGACCTTTAATTTGGAAACTTCCACAAGAATTACCACCAATGCTTGAAAGATTGCATGGTGATATTTGTGGTCCTATTAATCTAATATCAGGACCATTTCGTTATTTTTTGGTCCTTGTTGATGCATCAGGTAAACAATCACATGTTTCATTATTATCAACTCAAAACATGGTGTTTGTCAATCTTATATCTATGCTTATTCACTTTCGGGCACATTTTCCTGATTATCCTATAAAAACATTGCGTATGGATAATACAAAAGAATTTGTATCAAAGTCTTTTGAAGACTATTGTACTGCAACAGAAATCGAGTTGACATATTGTGTTTCATATGAACATGCTCAAAATGGACTTGCAGAGTCATTTATAAAGCGTATACAAC